TGCCCTAGCAGCCTCCAGTGTTAACCAACAAGGTTTGTTTTGTTTAATATTATTATGAATGCATGCATTTTTACATGTCTGATGTTTTAACCCATTATGATCATTATTCTTTGTGTTGCTCAAATTATTCCATTAGCCTTAGCTAAGGTGGCACACCTTAGAGTTGGCTTCTTTATTCTTTTGATGAGATCCACAGACACTCTTGAATAAGGTTCCTAGCCTGCTGTTCTTTCCACACATAGTCATGGTTTTATTTTCTGTATTCCTAAACTTCTTGGGGTTTTTGCAAACCAGCGGTATACCTTGTCGCCTCCAAGCCTTTGCTCAAGTTGGTACCTTTGCCTAAAGTGCCTTTTCCTATTTATGCCACCCAACTAATAGGTGCCCTGCAAAACCCAGTGCTAACTTGGACACCTATAATTTCCCCAAATCCCCCAGAGAGAGGCTTCATTGTTTCTTCAGTGCTATTGTAGCACCAATAGCACTGACCCCCTTGTATTAGTAACTATTTGCAACCCTGCTCCCCACAATTGTGAATTCTTTGAGAACACGGTATAAGTAACTGCTGCATGAAAGCTTAATAAAATGACTCCTAATGAATAAATCCACCCATTTATTTAAAAAATGTACTACCTACTAATAAATAAGTATTGAAGATTTTAGGAATTTGTGTAGCTCAATGGATGATGGAGAAAACACAAATAAAATCAGACAAATAAAATACAATGTTATAAATAGTCTGATAATATTTTTCTGTCTGTGGGTATAGCTACATTTCCCATTTTTCTGTTTCTTCTTCCCAGAATGCTCCTCACCCTGCCCCCCATGTTCTCACTGCTGACTCGTCATTTGAAGTCTCAGCTAAAATGTCCCCTTCTCTGAAAGCTTTTTCTACACTGTATCAGATAAATATTCTGAAGTAATTAACGGCCAGCCCCCTCCATAAACACATTGGAAGACACTAACCAATAAAGTATGTCAACTGTGATGGGATATAGTGTGACTATGTGATTATTTTACATAGACCATAATGGCTATCTTGCTGGAGGTGTTCACTCTCTCCCTTGCTGGCTTTGCAGAAGCAAGTGGCCATGTTGGAGAACTTGTGTGCAAATAAGCACAGTTAGCCTGTCAGAGCTAAACATGGCCTGCCCCCAACAACCAGCAAGAAACCAAATCCCTCAGTCCTACAATTGTAAGAAACTGAATTCTGCCAAAACCTGAGCGAGATATCCTTCCCCAGTGGGACCTCAGGTGAGACCACAGTCTCATGCAACCTCGTGAGATCCTCATCAGAGGAGCCACTTAAGCCATAGACACTGTGAGATACATTAAGGTGTATTAAGATGCATAAAGGTGTATTATCACTAGGTTTGTGGTAATACTGTTGCACAGGAAAAAAAAGACTAATATGCAATCTCTATGAAATCAAGCTCTGTCTTTTACTTTACTAGTATAGAAGAAACTTTAATGTTAGAGAGGGATGCTAGTTAATAATAAAGTTCATTGAAATGAAAGTTATATTTTGCCATGTTGGGAGATGGTTCTCCATGGGTCTCTCATGTTTCTGTTTGTCTTGTTCTTAAATAAGCATAGGAACAAAAAGAAAAAAATGGTGGGCAGCATCACTGTCTGCCCCTGTTCTTTTGTATAGGAGACAACCACAATAGTGTCTCCCTCTAGAAAAAAAAAAGCAGGTTTGCTTACAGCCTTCGAAGTCAGAGATAGTGTCTTCCTTAAGCAAAGGGCAGGTTCTTACTGCACATCACTAAAGACTGGGGGATTTCCTAAGCTCATTGTTCCTTTCTTGTAACATAACCCAGTGTGTGAGCAAATGTCATCTAGCCTTCTCCACAGCATGTTGTAGGAATTGGCGTTCAGGGAACCGGCACAAAAATGCTGATATTTTGCTCCTACTGCTGTAAGTAATAAATTATCCTTTATCTCTGACCCAGCAGTTTGCTAGCTTCTACCAGTATTCATGGAACTGTGGCAGGCAAATAGGGTCAAACTTCAGACCTTTCAAAGTTCTTGAAAACCTATAGAGAATGATGTTCAGCAGATACTTAACTGTGAATACTGGAAAACTTTTTTTTTTTTTTTTTTTTGGTAGAGGCAGAAACGTTAATACTGTACAAAATTACCACTGAACCTGTTAACCAGGCAAGAGAGAGTTCAAGCCTTCCAATTCTTCTCTCTCAGCATAAGGTGCCACTGCTTCCCTACCAACCTGAACTACCCACCCTCACTTGACTAAGTCTCCACACCAGTGGTTATTTAGTTAGGCATGAAAGTAGCTCAGAATACCTTTATCAAGGATGGTTTTTATAAAATATTTCCTTATCTATTGCTTGTTACATTATCAGGGCTGTCATCACATCCACAGAATGACTGCTTAGTGTCATTCATAGCTAATGTCTCCATTCAGTACCATACAATAACATATTCACTAAGAAAAAGCCCATTATTGTCACCATTTCGATTCTTGCTGCCTACAGAATTAGCAATTACAGCAAAAGCAAAGAGCCCCAGAGGCTTAAAATAGTAGAGTATTACTGGTTAAAATCAGACTTGAGGTTTTTACATAGGACATGTTAAATTAATTTAAAATGTTTTCTCTATTGTGTTACACTGTTCAAGTTCCTTAACTATTCTAGACATTAATCCCTTGTTGGCTTTAGATACTTCAAATATCTTTTACTAGTTTGTCATCTATTTGATAACTTTGTCTATAGTGTTTGTTTTTTTTTTTTAAAGATAAACTAAGGCTTGTTAAAGGATTTGAGTTTACCTGAGCAAAATTGGATTCAAGTAGAGCAGCACTAAACCAGGAACACTTCACAGACAGGAGCTTGGGAAAAGGCTTTTATATAGAAAAGACAGGAGAAGAGTAAGAAAATTATTGATTGGCTATAGCTTCAAGCCTGGTCAGCTGTTTGTGATTGGCTGTCCTTAGCATTTTGATTTTGTAACTAGAGGCATTTATAAGCTTTGATTTGGTTACAGCCACAGCAGTCTAATGGCCTCCTTCTTTATTCTGTTGTAATTAACTTCATCAATTTTTTTTTTTTACTTACAATTTGTTTTTGAAATGTTGTCAAATAAGTTGTTCCCCACCCCTGAGTGTAAAGATAATCTCCCCCACTATCTTCTATTAATTTCTTAGTTTGACCTTTCACATGTATACATTTAATGCATCCAGAGACCCTCCTTTTGATATGTTTAATTTTCTCAAGTTTATTTTCTTTTTCCCATTGATTTGTTGAACTGTGTTACTGTGTATTATGTTTCCAAGTGATGTTGATGTTGCTAGTCCAAGAAATATCCAGTGGCAAGATACTAAACAAGGGGATTGAACACCTAGTTGAAAAAGCTGATGATCATAGATAAGGGTGAATTGAGAACATATGGGCAAAGTGTTGTTATTATTAAACATACCAATCCATAATGAAGTAAAAATCAATGCTTATTATAAGTTTTTAGATGACAAAATGGGGATGGTTTTAGTAACTTGGAAAATAAACATATATAAACTACTCCCATTCAGCATTAGTTCAGACCGCCTCTGGATTCCCTGAGCTGTCTCTGAAATACAGAAACAAATTTTGGTTAGGTCATATTGAAAGTTTGATTGCCCAAAATATCCATCATCAGGTAGCTATCTGAGCAATGCTGCAAAGTCCTACTTTAAAAAAATAAGTTCATTTTCTTTCTCCAACAATTATCTATAGGGAAAAAAACAAAATTGGTAAGCACAATCTATTGCAAATAATTTAGGAACCAGTTTACTTATCTACCTAACTGCATTCAAGAAATGTCAAGGAAAGGCATTTTGCAATTTATTAACTGATATACTTACCCTGATTGAATAATTCATGCTGAAATCAAATCAGAAGAGGGAGCTATAAACATCAATTAGCCGTGGATTTAAAGTGAGGTAAGGTATGGGTGGTAGGACAATCTTTTTCAATATTTGTGGAATTGGATTGCTCAATGTCTTTGCTACTAATTTTTAACTAATCAATGAAAGACAGTGCGGGAGAGGGGCAGGAAGGAGAAGGCAGTGCCCCATCCAGAAACACGGATGTCAACGCAAGAAACATTCAAACTTGTAGAGAATTTTTGGTGAGTTTATTTGAGCCAAACTGATGACAATGTCCAGGAAGCAATATCTCAAAGGACTGAGACATGCTCCAGAGAATAGCAGTTTAGCACCTTATTCTATACATTAGAATCAAAAGAGGAGCCATATGGGGGTTACATGAAGTCCACTGGTGACAGATAAGGGAAGCAGGAGAAAGCAAAGTGGAGAAACCTCTGGGGTCGGATAAAAGGCAAATGACAGACATACTTTTTTTACATATCATAGGTAAAGGATAGTTAACAGACAACAATTAACATAATAACAATGAGGGCATTTGTGGTCTCAGCTTGTGCCCAAGGGGTTTGGAAAAAGGGAAGTTACCTTGACATTCAAAGGGTATATTATTATGGATTCAAAAAGACTATAAACAGGCTTAGTTAAGGTAAAGACCGGCCTTTGTTAGGGTAAAATACTGGCGTAGAACAAGACTACCCACCGAGAGCTGCTGTTAGTAAGTTTTAATTTCGACCATCCTTTGGGGTTACTTCAGGTCTCTGAGTTTGGGACGCTGCCCGGCAGGTCTCCCCTGAGCTTATCAGGTTAATATGTGGCCCCTTTTCTTCCACACGGAGAACTGATCTGTTACTCTGAAAAGGGAGCACACTTTCAATAGTGGGTTCTCTTGTTTAGCGTGGACAAGTCTTTTCACTTTCTAGAGCTTTAGTTTTCAACACTCAGGGTGACTGGAGGGCTTGAGAGATATCCGGTTATCTATTCTCAGCCTTTAAGAGTTACTCTTCGTACCGTTTCATCCAGCCTCCCAGCACCCACGCCGTAGAGGTGCTCTAGTGCCTTCACTTATCCTCTTCTGCGCAGGCGCCCTATTTTCCTCCTTTCTCTCCCACGCCCATCCGTCTGAGAGGCAGGACTTCCTGTTCTTTCTAGACCCGCAGCTGGAGGTGACAGACAGCGTGACTGCCGGCTAATCGGTTTTTGCGGAGGCTAGAAAAGTTAAGGGTGCCTGTACTAGTTGCCGCTCTCAGCCCGCAAGATGCCCGATCTGGCGGCCGCGAGCCCTGCCCCTTCTGAGGCGCAGGAGAAGAAGCCGCTGAAACCCTGCTGCGCCTGCCCGGAGACCAAGAAGGCGCGCGATGCGTGGTCAGTGCGCAGCCTGGGAGGGGGCGGCAGACGAGCCCGCGCCTGTTTCCGGTGCCTTTTACCACTTGACCTGCCTTGGGCGGGTCTTGGCTCTCACTCGCCGGAGCGGCGCTGTTTGGGGTTGTTTGGGCCCAGTAGACTTGCCTGTGGTGTTGATTGAGCTCGCAGCGCTGGCGGGAGACGGGTGAAGGGATAGGAGAGAGGATACCTTAGGTCGGAAGATGTAGAAATGGATAAATTTGCTACTTGATGTAAAGAGGCTTTAAGTTAATGGAGACGTGTACCAGTAATTGCTATATCACATGGTGTGGACTATTACAGAAGACTTAGGAAGACCCAAGAGTAAAAATTCTGGTAATGCCTATGAAAATTTAGACGTAGTAGGACACAGGATACCTTTCTTAAAGTACTAAAGATTTTTACCCTTCTCCTCCCTCCCCTCCTTAGGTAGGTAATTTAAAAATCGACAATCAATGACAGGTGACATTGTAGAGCTCAAATAGTACATCCAGATTACCATGAATCTACAAAAGCTTTTGTTTTTCATTCTATACAGCCTCTATAGTGGAACAAATCTTATTAGAAGGAATTTTCAGATAACGTGAATCAACATACACCTCCCTCCAGCCCCTTTTTTTCCTTTACATAAAAAGTAAAATCAGAAGTGGCATAAGGAAATTAATAAGAATTGTAGGAGCTTAGTGCTTTTTATTAATACTTAGTACTTTGCAAATAATATTGTGGATGGAGAATTGAAAGTGAGAATTCAAAATAAGTCACCCCAAGAAATGCTTCTATAATTTGCAGATTGTTTTCAGCTAAAGGCAACTTTCGCCTGTGGGCTCAAGAAAATTTTCTGCTCCTCCCCTTAAGTACCTAGAAGAACTTGAATTAGGGGCCTTGCCCATGAGAGATTATAAGAAATAACCTCTTTGAATCTATTTATGGGGCAGGACAAACTTCCATTTACTAAGCATCTGCTTTTCAAAATCCTGCAATGACCTTTTGAAGCCCCCAAGGTACCTTACCTCATTCCTAGCTCAGGACATCTTACGTATCCATGTTCCCTTTCTAGCTCTGAACCTGTCCTGCATTTGGGATCTCTGACTCTCTTGTGTATGCAGGATTCCCATACATAAATATGTATTAATTTTGGTTATTTTTCTCTTGCTAATATCTCAAGCCTATTTGATTATTAGATCTGCCAGCAAGAACCTTGAGATAGGGGAAACTTTGTTCCTTTTCCAGAAAAGATACTGAAATTGCTTCCACAGTAACAGTAAGGGCTTATTGAACTTTCAGATAGTGTGATGTCATGATTAAAAGACTGGGATCCAGAGTCAGTGTTTGAATCCTGGTCCACTGACTTGAACAAATTATTTAACCTATCTGCCTTATCTCTTTGTAAAATGGTCCTCTGCCGCCAGGATTACTGCAAAGGGTAATGATATAAACCACATCAAGAGCATAGCACAATATTTATAGCATTCAATAAACCATCAAGGAATACTATCTGGCCTTCATGAGGAGTTTGCCATCCCAGGCAGATACTCTCACTTTCAGGCAGCCCTTAAGCTTTTTTTCAAAGTCCTCACCAAGGATATATTTATTGATTTTAGAGAGGAAGGGGGAGAAAGAGAGAGAGAGAGAGAGAGAGAGATCTATTGGACCCACAACCTAGGCATGTGCCATGACTGGGGATTGAACCTGCAAACTTCTGGTGTATGGGATGACACTGCAACCAAGTGAGCCACCCTACCAGGGCAGCCCTTGAGCTTCTGAAGCTTGTGTAGGATTTAAATGGAAAGAGAACCTACCCTTCTTTAAATTACTTTTGTATCAGTTGCCTCAGACCACTGTGGCTTCTCCTCAAATACCTATAGTCAGGAGTTACTTTTTACTTACAGTTGAATTTGGCTTAACATGATTCTCTGCTACAATTATATTTTCAGGTCCTAGAAATAAGCTGTGTGGTCCTAGTCTTTACTTTGTGAATCTTACAAGTGAAAAGTTTTATGATCATCCTGAGGGAGTCTTGTCAGGTTGCCCTTGGCTGCTAGTTCTTCTTTGCTGTTTATATTGTTGGGTGTCTCTTGATTAAAAGTAGGTTTATTGAGGTGTATTTTCTTTTTTTTATTTTTAATAAGTTTTTTTAAAAAGATTTCTGTATTTATTTTTAGAGAGAGAGGAAGGGAGGGAGAAAGAGGGGGAGTGAAACCTCGATGTGTGTGGTTGCCTCTTGCACACTCCCTGCTAGGGACCTGGCCTGCAACTCAGGCATGTGCCCTAACTGGGATTCGAACGGTGACCTTTGGGTTTGCAGGCCAGCACTCAGTCCACTGAGCCACACCAGCCAGGGCTAGGTGTATTTTCATATAGGGCAAAATCAAAAATTCCTCTGTGATAGCAGGCAAAAAATTTAAGTTTTCTTTCTCCTTTATTTAATGTAAATATTTTATTCAGTCAGTTTATTTCATTGCAGAGCAGTATCATTCCTTGGACATGGACTGGAGGCAATATTTGATATGCATGCTTATTACTTCCAAACATACCTCCTCCTCAAAAAAATACTAGTTATCTGTGAAACATCTTTATGAGTGTGGAAATATCACAAGAGCGCGTGTGTGCATGCACACACACGCGCACACACACACAAGCCACTTGGCATAATAGCATTTTTTTAACACCAGCTACATTTGATTAGACCTATGTTCTGCCTCACTCCCCACCGCTATTTTCCATGCTTATTTACTGCTCAGATGTTTAATGCCTACTTTGTTAGATAACAAGTACATTTTGTTTTGTAGCATCATTGAGAAAGGAGAAGAACACTGTGGACACCTAATTGAGGCCCACAAGGAGTGCATGAGAGCCCTGGGATTTAAGATATGAAATGGTGAGTGTGGTACTCTCTGATTGGGAAGGTAATACATAGGCTCATTGCTTCAAGTCTCTATTGCTTTATAGATTTAGCAGTCATTGAGCAACATTCTAGCTGAAAGGTAGTTCACCTGGTTACTCCAACATGCTGCATTATCACTAAAAAAAAAACCATTACTGTTGCCAAGGTAGGGAGTAAGTGATGCTAATAAACTGAGAGGCATTCGGTGGATTTGGGAAGGGGACAATTTAGCTTTAGGAAAGGGCTTGACAAAAAACCTTTAGAGTTAAAGTCAGAAGTAACCATGGCTTCAGAAGTTCATAACGTTCAGCTGTGCCACTTAAAGAAACTAAAAGGAAAACATTCTCTATTCCTTGCCTCTAACATTGTGGATCTTTAGTAAGTGCTGTTAAGCAGGGAGTAGGCAACACATGGAAGCATTGCTTTATGTAAAACAAAAATGGAATTTTTGCTATTGCTTTTTTGTATTGTACTTTATTCTAATAAAGTCCTAATCATTAAAACCTCAGACCATTTTTTGAAGAACTTTGAATTTTAATTTTAATGCTGAGAGGGACCTTAATAAATGATTCTCTTTTGTTTAGAAGCTCTTCCTTCAGATAGCAAGTTGATTTACGCCCTCAGTTCATTCAGGTCTCTTTTTAAATCCCTCCTTATTGGAGAGGGTTTCCCTCAACATTCCATCTAAAATAACATCCCTTCCCCATCACTCTGTCCCAACACCGTCCAATAGAACTTTCTGCGATAATGAAATGTTCTGTACTTGCACTTTCCAGTATGGTAGCCACCAGCCTTATGTGACTGTTGAGCTCTTAAAATGTGAATAGTTAAACTGGGAAACTATATTTTTAGTTTACTTAATTTTAGTAGCCGCCACATCAGGCTAGTGGCTACTTTATTCTTAACACGACTGCCTGCATATTCTTAAAGTGTATTTTATTGATTATGCTATTACAGTTGTCCCAATTTTTTTCCCCCTTTGCCCCCTCTGCCTGGTACTCCCGTCCATCAATCTCCCCTCTTAGTTCATGTCCATGGGTCGTGCATATAAGTTCTTTGGCTTCTCCATTTCCTATACTATACTTAAAATTCCCCTGTGTACTTTGTACCTACCAATCATACTTCTTAATCCCTGTACCTTTTCCCCCATTCTCCTCCTTCCCCCTCCCTGCTGATAACCCTCCATGTGATCTCCATTTCTGTGATTCTGTTCCTGTTCTAGTTCTTTGTTTAGTTTGCTTTTGTTTTTTGAGATTCAGTTAGTGATGGTTGTGAGTTTGTTGTCATTTTACTGTCCATAGTTTGATCCTCTTTTTCTTAAATAAGTCCCTTTAACATTTCATATCATAAGTACTTGGTAATGATGGACTCCTTTAGCTTTACCTTGTCTGGGAAGCACTTTATCTGCCTTTCCATTCTAAATGATAGCTTTGTGGATAGAGTAATCTTGGATGTAGGTCCTTGCCTTTTCATGACTTTGAAAACTTCTCGCTAGTCCCTTCTAGCCTGCAAAGTTTCTTTTGAGAAATCAGCTAATAATTTTTTGGGAACTCCTTTCCAGGTAACTCTCTTCTTTTCTCTTGCTACTTTTAAGAGTCTCTCTTTACCTTAACTTTTGGCATTTTAACTATGATGTGTCTTGGTGTGGCTCTCTTTGGGTCAAGATTGTTTGGGACTCTGTGCATCCTGGACTTGTATGTCTGCTTCCTTCACCAAATTGGGGAAATTTACATTAATTATTTCTTCAAGTAAGTTTTCTTTTTCTTTTTCTTTAAAGATTTTATTTATTCATTTTTAGAGAGGGGACAGAAGGGAGAAAGAGAGGGAGAGAAACATCAATGTATGGTTGCATCTCACGTGTCCCCTACCAGGGACCAGGCCTGCAACCCAGGCATGTGCCCTGTGCTGGGAATCAAACCAGCAACCCTTTGGTTTGCAGGCCGGCGCCCAATCCGCTGAGCCACACCAGCCAGGACTCAAATAAGTTTTTAATTTCTTGCTCATCCTCTTCTCCTTCTGGCATCCCTGTGATTTGGATCATATGTTGCACATTTGTAGATGTCCCAGAGTCTTCTTATTCTCTCCTCATTTTTTAAAATTCTTGTTTCTTCATTCTGTACAGGTTGACTGTTTATTTTTTTCTTTATGTTCCAAATCATTGATTTGAACCCCAGCTTCCTTCCCTTCGCTGTTGGTTCCCTGTCGATTTTTCTTTATTTCACTTAGTGTAGCCTTCATTTCTTCCCTCATGTGTTTGCCATACTCAGTGGGTTCTCTGAGCATCCTATCACCAGTGTTTTGAGCTCTGCATCTGATAAGTTGGCTATCTCCATTCCACTTCCTTCTTTTTTGGAGTTTTGATCTATTCTTTCATTTGGGCCATATTTCTTTGTCTCTTGAATTTGGCAGCCTCCTTGTGTTAGTTTCTGTGTATTATGTAGAGCTGCTTCGACTCCTTGTCTTGGTGCACCTGTTACATTGTAAGGGCCAGAGCCTTGGGTATTCATAAGGGTGGGACAACTGTTTTTATGGATCTCTCTGGGGGAGGGGTTGGAGAGGGAACAATGCTGCTTGCTTGGCTCTCACCCCATTTCCAGTCACTTCCCCCACTTCCTGTATGTGACTGGTGCCCTTCTAGCTGCTGCTCTGGTGCTGAATCCCAAAGTGGGTACGATTACATTCATTCGAGGACTACATGGGTCCTTTAAATGGACTCTCCTGAGAACCAGCAATTTCTTCCGCCACCGCAACCCACACGGATGTTTATAGCCAGAAGTTATGAGGCCTTATTTCCCAGTGCTGGCACCCTAGGCTGTGTGGTCTCCCCTGGGGCTGGGACCGCTTGCTCCCCAGGTATCCCTCCCAGTTTTTATCCACCACACATGAACGTGGGACCATTCGTTCTACCGGCTGCTGCCACGGCCAGTGCCTCACCTCACCGCAGCCAGACCATGTCCCCTCTGCCCCAGGTCTCCATCTCCGCCCCTCATACCCATCTGGATGAATATTTCTTTAAATCCTTAGTTTTTGGACTTCTAGAAATTCAACGTTCTGGCAGTTCTGGTTGTTTTTAGTTTTGAAGTTAATTGTGATCCTTCTTCTGGTTTTAAGAGGAGATGAAGCATGTCTGTCTATGCCTCCATCTTGGCCGGAAGTGCATATTACATATTTATTTCTCATCTGCTTGGTTTTACTCCAACTGGAATGTAATCTCTCAGAGAGCTGGAATTTTCTGTTTTATTCACTGTCATATTCTTAGGACCTATAACAGTTCCTGGCACATAGTAGGAGTGTATTAGAAGATTGTTAAATAAATGAATAAGTGAGGAAACTAAGCCCTATAAGTAGGAAGTGATTCCTGAGGTGGGTTAGCAGGATCAGAGCTGGAACCCGTCTCCAGGCAGACTCCCGCTGCTCTGTGTGCCACCCCACCTCAGGCCCCCTCATCCACGTCACATCACCACTTTTAACTTAATAATAGCTGAGAGATAATGCCAAAACCACACACCAATATAACAGTAATAGAGAGCCTGGCTTCTTTCCCTTTCACCTTCCTGCCTCTTTGGAATTTCACATATGGCCAGCGTTCCTTATTGAGTTTTAAAAAAGGAGGGGTAAGGAACTTGTCCCAAGCTGATATAAAGTATTACTGTATAGTGGAAAACAGTCTAGGTTGAAAGTTCTTGGGTTTAATTTTGATTCTCCTTATGTCTAACTTAGCTTGTATTTTACTTCAGCTCCATTCAATATTCATCAAGACATTAATCCTTTCTGGACTTCACTTTATTTATATAGAGTCATAATAGTTTTGCGATTTAAATATGGTATATCAACTCTGTATACATGAGCTACTTAAGTGGCTTTTAGATGAGATGGTCATGTAAAGAAATTCCATGGTGAATCACTTTGTAAAATAAGTAAATTCGGGTCGGGGGCTGTGTTCTTAAAAAGTATAAATATTCCTAGTGATTATTTTTAAAGACATGGAATCTCAATACTTGTACATGGTTTTCTTATTGTTAGTATATGCATACTCACAGGGAGACCCCTGAAACTGAAAGTAGACCTCCCTAAGTGGAGCGCAGGGAAAGACCAAAGAAAGAGGCTGGCCACTGTAGTCTGGTAATTAATGGAATTTATTAAGGGAAACTTACATATGAGGGGCCTGTCTTGGGAGGCTGCAAGATGAAATAGATCCCTCTACCCCTTGTCATAGGCCAGAAAATTATATAGGGTAAAGGGGGGCATAGTCATGGGTACTAGTATGTGAATGCTACCACTTACAGGAAATTACATGCTTGTCCAGTCAGAACAACAACCTGTTACAGAAACCAGCACATAGCCAGGGGCAAGGAAGGGGTGCTTGGTTTATGTCAGAATGAACGTGCGTTATGATCAGTCTGTAAGCGGGGTTTGCAGAAAGCAAACTCCGTTCTGGCCTAGGTCCAGCTTAAGGAACAGATAGCGGTCATGTCATGGAACAGTCTGTCTTCCTAGGCAGTTATGTAAGGTGTTGGCTAGAGCCAAGCCTGCTTTGATACAAAAAGTGATTTTTTAAAATTGCTCGTTTTAGGAGCACCAAAAGCTTCTCTTAGACCTCACTTGGATAACAAAGTAGTACAATTGTTGTAAGTAGCATATATTTACAAGGACCAGAAGATATCATAGTTTTCCTATGTTACTAGCACAGAGTTAAGAGTGATTCCTATGTTCTTCATTTGTGTATAAAAGAAAACCCAAGAGCTTTGGACTTAGAAGACCTGCTGCTGAAACAATGGTGTGGTCTTGGGCAAGCCCTTTCCGAACCTTCATTTCCTCATCTGTAAAGCAAAGATAATAATACATGACCAAACTGCTTCACAGAGTCATTGAGATGATTAAACAATATGTGTATGAATGGGCTTTTTAATCTGTCGAATAGAAACCAGAAAGGAATATCCCATATTTTGGGAGTTGTGGCTAGGAGACATTCAATTGAGATCTGTTAAATTTATAAGCTAATAATGTATTTTTGAATTCTGGTTAGAAGAACAATCTGAATCCACATAGAAACAGGTGGAAGAACAGGTGTCCTCTTTCCCTAACCCCCATGGGAAAGCAGAGGAACAGTGAGTCAGAAGACTTGCCGAAGTGGAGAGATGGGGGAATTAAAACTAGAGTCTATGTCTTTTATGTCCCCCATATAACAGGCACTTTACTCTTTACTGCTTGCATTTAATGAGGTCTTATTGCCAACATATTCATTTTTAGGATTGCACATCGTCTTGATCTGTAATCCTAAAATTTTATTGTGAATGCTAATTAGACCTATTGTTGAAATGCATAGGATATAACTTAGTAACCAGGTTATTGGCTGTAGGCTAAAATCCAACAGTACTTGCCTACCCTGTTATAAGATAAACTTAACTAAATTGATGTCTCTCAGACTGTTAGACCACATTTTTCTGAAGATAACTTCAAAAGGAAAATATTTCACAAACTTAGGCCCTCCCAGTAATGATTATAAAAGTTTCATAATTCAAAAACCTTTGTAGATATTAGTGTTATTTTCTAAATAATTGTACCTTGAACTCAGTAGTTTGGGACTTAATATAAAAGTAGGCTACATTCAGCCAGGGGTGTACCTTATAATCACCTGAGGAATATTTTCCAAAATTCACAAGCCTGGGCCCCAATCTGTACCTGTTGACTCAAAAACTCCTAGATGATTTTCAAGTGTGCCCCTCTTTAAGAACCAATGGCTTAAGCTGAAGGGATAATTCTAAATATAAGCTATCAAAAGATTTAATAGTAGCAAAGGCAGAGACTTGAAAACTACTCCTAAGGAAAATTAGGTATATGATGGTAGTGATTCTAAATATTTTCTTTTGTCTTACGACTGCTTCTTTTACTGAAAGAGAAATCTAGAATCTGCTCAAAAATGTAAAGAGAAAATGGCAGCTAGTATCTTTCTGCCGTTATGATTCAGAAGGAGCCTGGAGAACTCAGTTTGGGGGCTAGAATCATTGAAAGAAATTAGAGGACTAGCACTTAGCAATGGTGATACTCAGTATTAAATTTGACAGAGCCTAACAGTAGGTTAAAATATACTGATTACACACATTCACACAAGCAGCTGATTATGTATGAAAATATGGTCCCAAGAAAATGCAGAGAAAAGGTTATTTCTGCTACTCAAACATTTATTCACTCAATAGATATTTGTTGTTTAAGACCCTAAAAAATGCCAAGATGAGGACAGGATCTCTTCTGTCAAAGACTTTACAGCCAGAGGTATAATCAAGAAGTTTACAGCCAGAAGCTTTCATATGTATATATAATATATACAGTCAGTAGCAAAAGAGGTAACAGTGTCTTTTCTATGGACTTCTATCTCTTGAAATGTTGAGTGAACATCATTTTTGGTTATATTTCCTGCTGAAACCTTTTTCTTAAATGTATTTTTTCTTTGAACTTTTTAGAAAACAGGGAGTTTAGGTGTTTTATTGTTGATGAGGTTTATCTTTTCTAAACAAAATATAGGGAATAGCTAGATGAGAGAAGCACTGAAGAGTTGGCTAGCCCATATTAGTTAGTTACCTTTTTAGCATTGTTCTCTGTCTTCTGGGGCAGGAGATGGGAGGTGGGGTTGGGGATGGGAGTGGAGGTGGGTAGGAGCTGTCTGAAGAGAAGCCTGAGTACAGGTCTGAGTAGACCAGCAACCCTATCCCCTGCTACTCTCGCCTTTTTGATCTTTACACAAGGATTTCAAAAAGGTTACCTTTCTTTTGCCCTTGGGATAAATGAGTAACTTTCCACAGGAAGTGCTTTGTATACAGAGTTGACCTCCCTTTTACTTCCTGCCTTTTACTTGAATCAGCTAGGAGGGGTTTGCAAATCTCTTTTGAGTATCTGTAAAAATAAACTTCCTTAGCCTTTTTGGGAAGATATTTTTGAGAAAATAAATACATAATTTTACTTCAACAAAGACCTGTTGTTGGATTGAACAGTTTCAGTGATGGATTGAACAGTTTCAGTGATGTTTTTAGTTAGACAAAACTAGAATTTTAAAATGTGAATCTTATATTTCATGACTGGTTTAGAAAAATTGTGGCATTTAGTAGTACTCGGCTGAGGTACTCATTTCTTAGTGGCCTTAATTCCCCACCTTCATAGGTCTGGCATGATGTTTGAAATCTGACTTTCTAAACTAAATCTTTTTCTGTAGGTGGTCTGCTCTGTGAATGAATAATTCCTGAAGAATGAAGATGATTTAATAATTTGGGGAGTTCTTTAATGAACTTTGATAAATGGAAAAAGAATCTATAATTAAAAAAAGAGGAAATTGCATGGTCAAAAATCTTTAGGTGTGTTTCTTGTGTTCCTCATATCTGTACACGACGCTTATTTTTTTTCTTAAAGGCTATAGAATAAACACATCTTGTAATATAAATTTCCTATGTTGTTGTGTCATCTTGAGAACTCTGTTTTTTTTTTCTGTTTTGTGTATTTGTTGTAACAAAGTAGGTCAGAGCAGAGGCCCCTGGAAAATAGCAGAGACCCTGGGAAAACAGAGCCCACCCCCCCCAAATCAAAGCAAAAAGGCAGGGGGATGGGAAAGTGCTCACAGATCAGAAGGTAAGCATTTAAGGCACGTTGCATAACAAAGGCAGAATAAAACAGCCCTTGCCTTCCTAAAAAGAATGGCTGCTGAAGGAAGCTGCTGCCAGGGGCAACCTGTAAACAAAGACAATGTGACTGTGATAACATGCACCAGCACAGTCACTCATAACATAGCTGGGGGAGGGGGAAGGTCATACAATGCCTGCGTGGGCTATGGGGGCCGGATGCCCACCCCTGGAGGAATAGATGTATGTGCACTTGTGCGTGGTTGGGAAACTTTTGCCCTGACTAAAAATGGCAGCCGAAAGAGGGTCAAAAACACTGGGGAGCTGACAAAAATGACAGACACTGACGCACTGTAGGAAAAACTGGACAGTCCCACTGGCTTCCTGGGCACGTAGGATTTTGAGAGGGCCTTTTGACAGCAAAGGCTCAGAAAGGCTGTCGCTAGCGCACTTGGTACAGAGAAGTCGCTCTTGTGGTACAGGGGCCCACCAGGGGCTTAGATCTTTCATGGATGGGAGCCCACCCCTGGAAGCAGAGTCCCATGCTGGGATGTGTGCCTCCCTGGGCTCCAGCCTCTGCGACACTGCACAGCACACAATTCCTGGACTACCACATGGAGATTGGGAACCACATACCCCAAATCCTGAAGGAGAGAGCTGCTGTGAGAAGATGGCAACTCTGAATCCCACAAGTGCACATGCCAGAGGTTGGAGGTCTGTTTGACTGGCTTAAGGACAGATAAAGAGATAGGGAACTTCTGGGCATGGTTTTGGCTTGTAGTCTTTTGGGGAGCAAGGGAAGTGCTGGATCTCACTGGAGAGAAGGGCTCAGCCCCAACAAGGTTGGAATCCTGTTAGAAAAAACCATGTATCCTTCAACACAAATTGTTGGGTTATATATAAAAGCACCAAGCTGCTGAAGCCCTGTTTGCACAGTTACATTGTAAGGACAAAACAGATACTGATGTCATCCAATGAAATCTCCAAAATCAAGTGCATGGAAATATGAAATAAACCTTTACCAATTTGCAATGAATGTGGTAGCCCTATCATCTCATTTAAGGTTCTGGATTTTTTATTTTTAACTTTCTTGAAGGCAAGAACTAGACAAGCCCTCAGTCTTAATATTTTAAATTCTTATTGTTGTTCATTACTAGTTCCCTCTTTTGGGAAAGTAGTTTGTTTAAATTTTGGACCACATTGGGATGCTTTGGCTTGGAAGTTCTCAACTGTTTAGCCTCATTAATCTATGGATGGCTAGTCATAATTTGGGGTGAACTAGGATCATAAGCTTAATGCCCAGGGGCCAGAGAGACTTGTCTCATTAATTAGAGCCCAGGCCAGACGCTGAATTGGCACAAATAATTCACTAATGAAATAGTTGTATGGTGTGCTGTTATGATACCTGAAATAAAACATGGAGTGTGGCTCACTAACTAGCAACCTGGTTCTGTCAATTGCATAAGGGCTATAATATGAAGCAATTGGCCACATTCAGCCTTTTAAATAAATTGAGTTTCAAATATCAACAAAAGATACTGAGGAACATAAATAAGAGACTATGTACTGTTCATATGTCATTGTGTAAAGGGAAAATTGCCTCTTTCAGGAAATAAAGGAGCTGAATTAAATTATTCTTTAGGACCTTCCTATTAATAAAGAGCATGGCTTTGAAGTGTGACAACCTTAGGTTCAACAGCGGCTTATGTGACTGCAAGCAGTTATAACCTCTTTGAGTCTGTTTTTCTCATCTGAAAGAAAAGAAAGCAGGGATAGAGTAATATCTAATTTACAAGATTGTGAGTACTAAGTAAAATAGTGTATATAAAGCATTTGGCACAGTATCTAGCATTTAATGTTATTAACATTCTTTACTTCTCTGATTCCATATTCATACTTTCACTTGAATATTTGGATATACTCCTTTTATTTTAGCAAGCACTTTTTAGCTTTTAGAGCATTCTTCTAGGTGAGGAATAGAATCTTAGAGTGCTAAGAGAGATATGAACCAACTTTTCACTCAGTACAGATCCCTGGTATATGAATCAGATTCTGCTTGAATATGTCCACGTATTTTTTAATGAGACCACAATAGGAATTGCTTTTTTACCATCATCTATTTTTACCATCAGTGAGTAGTTTCCAATGTAATTTGTTTTGGCTATGTATAAATCCATTCTGTGGCTCATCATTTAACCAATTCCCAATCGTCTGTACATATTTATTAAACAAATGTTCTATGGAATGCCTGCTGTATGTCAGACACCATTCTAGGAACTGGATCTTAGTCTTGACTGGGATACATACCAGATACCTAAATGATTTCTGATTTTTTGGAGGCAGGGGTATTTTGTTTTGTTGGTTTATGGAAACAGGATGAAATCACCTGAAATCCACCAGTATACAATAGGACCACTTTTTGGTGACCTTAGCATTGGTCTCTTTCTGCGTCTGTACACTCTTTATTTGTTTTTTCTTCTACTCCTTAACACTACCATTGATTTTCATACAAAAGTCTTTACAAATGTCTTTTACTAATTACCTAGCCAAGGAGAGGCCAGAGGCTATGCACATTTTCAAGGCTTTGGATGAGTACTGCCTGAGTGATTTATAGAAAGCAGATACCCATTTGTAACTTAGTATCTGAGGGTGCCTATTTCCCTAAACTCTTAGCAAGATTAAATTTTTCAACCTTTGCCAGTTTGATAGGCTTACCTGATTTGTGAAGGAACTAAAGCACCGTTCTTGACATCCATAGTTGAAAATACATCTCACAAGATCTGCCCGTCTTGCCTAGTGCTTAGGTCTTCCCAAAGATTATGTGCAGCATTGTGGTAGTACTAATAATAAGAATATCACCACACTTATTTGAAAAAATGAAGAACTTAAATTCCTAGAAGGCAAAAACCCCATTCTGGTGTACCTTTTTGCTAAGCCCCTACTATTCACAATTATTCCCAAACTCTTAGTAAAGATACATTCATGCTATTCTCTAAGTGGTTCCCTTTGTCTAACTTTGAACTGTTTGACTTGAAGGTTGGTGAGAACAGGACCATGTCCCTAGGCAAGGTCTACCTTAGGATGAACTATACCTTCCACAGGTCTGATGTGAGGGTAATGGAGAAACTATAACCCCATTTTACAGACGTTTTAGAGAGGTTTATGAAATTGCTCTGGTCAAATAGCTGGTGACCTAGGATGTGAGTCTTGGTCTTTAGAGTTCAGGTCCAGTGTTCTTTCCATACTAGGTATATAATATAAACATATATGTATTTATAGTTATAAATTCATTTATTCACTCAGTACATATTTTGTGAGGGCCTGTAATGTGCAAGGAGCCATTCTAGGTGTTGAATATTCATGTGTGATTCAGACATACGAATATATCTTGTCTTCAACGAGAGGAGAGGCTATTTGACTCAACAATTATTGAGTACATACATTATGCCCACTATGTGCTAGGTAGTCAACAAAGCTTAGTGAGTCATGGACCCTGCTCTCAAAGATTATAGTCTAGTGGGTATATGTATATAAGCTATAAAAATATAAAGTTGAATACTCAGTGCTATGATAAATATTCCCAGATGTTTTCCTTAAAAGAATTTCTGTATGTAAGACTATACCCAGCGTTTTTTTAGCTATTAAAAACTGTTAGGTGATCGTTCCATCTGTGTTATGGAGCTTTTGACAGCTAGTACTAGAAAGTCCTCATCAAGAAAAACTCACATAACTACAAGTCCAGCATTTGGGCGAATTCTGTGTGCAATAATACAGGCTCAATGACGCCTTCTAAGACCGAAGTTATTTTCATCTCAGAGCTCTCCCTTTTACGACAGATGAAGCCAATCATATACTTTACTGTTCAAGTCTTGCATAAGAGAAGCCATTCCCAGGGCATTAGTTCTTTTTTTCAGTCTAAGCCAAATAAAGTTTATGTGTATTTTTATGAACCAGTAATAGTTGTCAGCAGAATACCTTATGTTGATTGGCTTAAACAGAACCCTCAGACCCCTTGGATCCATGTCTAGGTTAGATGTCAGAACAAAACTGGAATTCTGGTACAAGGAAGAAGAGGTAAATGGATATTGAGTAGGTGACCCATTTTCCACTAATCCCTCTTATTCCCCTAATAACCAAGTCATCCTGAATGGTCAAATTGAGTTTAGAGGACCAATTCAATTCCTCTCAGAGTTTACTCAAAATTTTGAAAGGAAATTATTGATAGAATATGATTAGTGTGATGTTCAGTCTTCATAGAATAAAACAATCATGTTCTTTGAAGAGTAGTCTTTATGGAAATCCTTAGGGAGGTCTGAATCTGGAGATATTCAACTGCAGGTACTAGAATACCAGCTATATCTTTATGTCTGGAAGTTTAAAGTTCCAGGTCGGAGACAATGGTTCAGTGAGACTTGTGAGAACTGAGGTTTGTCTATTTTTCCATTCTTTATCTCTCTCATCTTTAGGCATATCATATCTCATGGCTATGGTAACTTCAAGCATTACATCATCACATGACTGTATTCAAGCCAGGATGAAAGCAGATCTCCTTACTGTCTCTGTCAGGGATATGCTTTTTCCCAGAAGCTCTCACATGTACTTCCTTGTATCTCATTGGTCACATGCCCACCCTTAAACCTATTGCCATCTAGGGGAATGGGATCTCATGCTTGGCTTTGACCAGTCTATTTCAGGCCCTGGCAACTGGGGGAAAGGCCCATCTTCCTTAATTCCTCTGATTGCCAAAGCAAAATCAGAGTTCATAAGGTAAGGAAACTAAGGTTGCTATAGGATGGGCAGCAACTAGTGTCTGCCTACAACCAAC